ATTAATATGTACAGATGGGATAAGATTTTTTCCTTATCCCTTCAGTTGGCTTTCAGCAATGCGTGTAGATCTAGCCAGTGTGCTAGTGGTAGTCTTTGAAGGCAGCAGGTGTGTTTCCCTGGAACCCCACTAGCTGCTCCCTTGTATGAGCTGGGGTTGAGACAGGATGAAAAGCCAGCACTCCATGCTGTCAGTTGGGATGGAGCCTCAAAAAGGAGGCTACGACTTTCTGGGGCTTGAAAGATTACACATCAGAGCTGAAGCACCAACCCTAAAACACTGGATACCATCTCCACGGTGTTAACCAGGCTACTCTTTCTGCATGCCCTTCTCTCAGCATACTGGTGAGGTGAATGCAGGCCTCCTACCCAGCCCAGCTCAAGGCACTCACCTGCTTCCTACCATTCTCTCAGGCACTCATCCTTAAGCCACTCCTTTCTTCATGAATGAATAAAACCCAGGTTCTGCCCTGGGTAGAGGACTTTGTCCCATAGCCACCATCATGGCTGGACTGATGACCTCTCGGCTCCCCAAAACTACAAATATGCCTTAGTGTCTTTATTCTTGATGTGGGTTGCATTGGGTGTGGTAGATTGGAATTAACTTGATGGGATTCCAATGATTTATCCATGGGATTACAAAGACAAACTTTTCGGACCAAGATGCGGACCAGGAATGGCTCTCTATTAGATCAGCAGCCAATTCTTTTTTAAAAAATGTAGTTAGTACAAGGTCTACAGGGTCTCACTACACAGATTGGACTTGTAGTGATCCTCTTCAGCCTTCCAAGCACTGGGATTACAGGTGCACACCACCACACCCAGTCTCATTTGCTGTCTCAGTGGGCCCCAGGGGCATGCCAGGCAGTGCACGCCAGGCAAGGCATGCCAGAGATTGAACACTGGTCCCTGCATAGTTCTCTGAGCTATCTGGCTGACCCTTAGCCAACTCTTTTAACTCCTACTGAAACCAGTAAGTGTGTCTGAGAATCACTGGAAGTTTGCTCTAAAAGCAAATTCCCAGGTACTGTATCCATGCAATTCTGAGTAGATTGTGGGTGGTCCTAGAATTTGCACTTCATCATAATTTTTGATGACAAAATTATACCTTGAGGAAATAGAAGATGAATTCCTTGGTCCAGCATCGCAGGAAAAAACCTCAATCACCATCTTGAATTTAAAGCTTCAATAAATGTCTTAAAACGGAGGTGGTACAGGTAAGTATGAGATGCCTGTCTGGTGTCCAAGTTGAAGCATCCCCGGGCTATTTGGTGAGGGCTCTGGAGACAGATGTGACCTGGAGGTGAGAGGGGGGAGTCATTAGTACAGAACTAATAGCAGAAGCCTCTAGAGGGAGTGAGCCGATGGCCATGTCCTGGATTCCATACTGCCTGTTTGGCCCTGTTTGGTTTGCTTTCTTCACGAAGATTGTGTCAGGACGTTTTGAGTCCCTGCCCCCTCAGTTCTTTCTGGCTTCGCCTGACATTGCCATCCACCTTTAGAGGCCCTAGCCAAACCTGCACATTCATTGACTGCCCTGGATTCTCACTCCAGTGAATCGGTCACCACATCTGGTGGATTCTACTCCTCAAAGCTCCTCCGGTCCTTGCTTTTCAGCCCTACCACAAGTCTTATCACATTTCTCACACTGCCTGCCTTCCGCCTTTGGGTCTAGCCCTGCTCCTGTGCAATCTGGCTCTGCAAGTGTGTGTTTCAGGCAACTGGGTTCCTTACCATCGGAGGGTCTCCCTGGGCAGAGATCCTTAGGCTTATTATTAAGTTCCTGAGGACCAAGCACGGTATCTGGTACAAAGTGCTTGTTAAATGCTTAGCCCGCCTATTTTCAGGCTCCTTGTCCTCCCTTCTCTCCCACCTCCCAGGTTCAAAGGCAAAGAGAGATTATTATATTAGAAGAATAGTTTGATGTTTGCCTTGTGTGTTGTGCATAATTTTCTGTAGAATAAAACTGTGACCTCATTAAATAAATCCCATTGCCACTTTCTACCTCCAAGCAGGCAACAGTGCATAAGCAGTGGTGGGTTATTTGGCCAGACTAATCAGAGCTAAAGAATGAGCCACAGTATCTCCAACTTCTCTCGTCACAAAGGCAACTTGAAAGGCTACAGAAAGTGCCTCTGGAGATCTTTTAAGATTGAATAAATGGTGCAAAGGGAGGAGGAATGCTTGGGACAAAGAACCATTGAGAAGTCCTCCACACAGGAGTTATTCAAGAGTTCATTTGCCCTCTCCTAGGGCAGTTCTGTTTGGCAGTGGCTGGGCCTTACTGGAAAATGCCCTCATTGAGTATCTACTGAACATCTACAACGAGCGAACTGCTACTTTATACTCTAAGGGTAGCGTGGGAAAAAAATATAAATGTCTCTGCTTCTGTGTAGTTCATATTTTAGTGGAGTGGGGGAGATGTTGCGTTAAATAATCAAAATACTGTTTTGTCAAATGGTTGTAAGTACTACGTAGAAAGATACAAGAGGACAAGGGCGATATGAATGCCGGAGATGGAAATGACGCTGTTTTGTACAGGAGTCAGAGAGGAATCTTTAAGGAGGTGACTGATGTGGTATGAAGGTCTGTGTCCCCCTAAAATTCACATGCTGAAATAAAATCCCCAACATGACGGTATTGGGAGGTGTCGGATCATCAAGGCAGAACCCCCACGAAGAGGACCAGTCTACACTTCCAACATGTGCCATTGGATACTGGAAGCGTTCAATTTGTACAGGGTCTTCCAGCTAAGAGCTGGCCTTAATCTCAGAGCAGACTTTAGACTTGGACTTTTCAGCCATGTTAGAACTTTTGCAATTTGTGGAGTTGGATTATATGTCTTTTGCATAAAGGGATATGTATAAATCTCTAGGGGTCCAGGAGCAGAATGCTATGGCCTTGTGTCTAGATGTCCCCCCAAAGACTCATGCAATCATAGGCAGGGCTTTTCTAGAGGTGGCTGGATCTGGAGTCAACACTGGGATTGATTCATAGTGCACTGCTAGGCTTAAGGGCACTAGGATTAAGGGTGTGAGTGCTGCCTACCTGAAGCAGTCTGGAAAGGATAAAAGGCGACAAAAGGCACTGAAAAGGTCCCTGGTTGCTTTTGCTGTCTTTGCCTGCAATGAACTGTTTCTCTTTTGCAGCAATACCCTTATGCCCTCTGCCAAGCCACCCCGCCTGGAGCTAGCCAACTATGGACTGAAACCTCTATGAACCTTGAGCTAAATAAACTTTTCCTTCTTATTTAACTTTGGGTATTGGGTATTTTTGTCTCAGTGGCAAGAAAAGTAACTAAGACATGCTCTTAGAGAAGAGGCCCCAGAGAGACTCTAGACACAGGAGGACCATGTGAGGAGGTAGCGGGAAGGCATCAACTGTGAACCAGAGGGAGCCCTCGGCAGACACCAGGTCTGTTGGTGCCTTGATTCTGGACTTTCCAGGCTTTACAACTGTGAGAAGGGAGTTTCTGTTGCTGATAAGCTACTTAGTTTATGAGGTTTTGTTGTAGCAGCCCTAAAAGACTATATCATGGCACTTGAGCAAAACACTTGGAGGAGGGACAGCTAAGCATGCGAGGATCTGGGGGAAGATGTGCCAGGGAGAGTCAAGAGCTTGTGGCAGGACCATGCAGCTGCCTTTCATTGATCAGCAGACTCAGCTGGTTTTGCAGGCTTTGGTCTGGGAAGTGCCAGGGCAGATGAAGGAGGGGGAGGGAGCGCTGTGGCTGCAGCCTTTGGGTGCCCTGGGGAAATCGAAGACCTGACTTCCCTGTAGGTTGCTACTTGATCAATTTTCTGAATTCACTGCTGAGGCTCTGAGATCCCAAGGCAGGATGTGGTCTGGTGCTCCTAACAGAACTTCGACTGTCTTTTCCTACCTCTCCGGAGAAAGGCTGGTTGCCTGAGACATACACTGTGGAAAACAGTAGGCAAAGAGGCAAAACCATTTTCTCCCTCCTCTTGCTGTGGCTCGCTCTTTCTAATCTCTTTGGGTTTCCCTAGTACCGGATCAGCATCCTTTTGGAGCTGAATTTCTCCATACCAGGATTGGCGGGTCTGACCCAGAGGTAGTAACGATTCTGAGATACACTTTGACAAACACAAATGCCATACCAGTAGAGGGAAAGAAAAGGCATAACATTTATTTTTATCTTATCTATGGACCATTCATGGGGCTGTTTCCACGTGTTATCGAATTTTCATTATGAATTTATCTGCAAGTGCAGCGTAGATATTATTGTTACCAGTTCACAGATAAAGGCTCGATGATATTATCTGTTTTCTGGCCTACAAAAATACAGTATACCTTGTGAAAAACTTCACGATTCGAAAAATGCAAGAAAAAAACAAAACAAAACTGAAAGTCTTTGCCTAACGCGTCTCGAACATTTACAAGAAATTGATAGTCTCCCTGAATGTAAAAAAATGCGCATAAAAACATAGTTTTTTTTAAGAACGTGGGAGCACAGCGTACAGGCTCTTCTGCAACTCGGCTTTTTCCTCCTAGCAGCATCCTACTTATCTGGCCACGCAGTTAGTCAGTCTTGCTAACGAATACGGGATTTTTGAGGAGTTGAAGCTTTCTGATGATGCAGCTGGCCGGTGATTTCACTTTGTCAGCGAGGACACCAGTTTCCCGCTTTTGTAAAAGACAGAGGCAAAGCGGCCCACGACGTGATGATGCCAATAATCAGGGCATCCCCCGCCTCCTGACACTGCGGCTTCCCCTAACCGTCTGAGTTACTCAGGGGAGGAAGCTGCCGCCAGCTACAGCAACGCAGCAGACATCGAGAGACCGCGAACCCCTTTGGAGGGGTGGGGGTGGGGTGGGGGATGACGTCAAGGGCGCTGGGCGGCCCCTAGGTGAAGTGAGGGGCGGGACCTCAGATGGGAGGCGGGGCCACAGGCGCACGGCGCCCGAGGCGTGCTGACGGGTAGGCTGGCTGTGGGCGTGACGTCTCCCTGCGCCTGCGTCAGGCTCCGCCCCTACTCGCCCAGGCCCCGCCCCTCCATCCCCGGCCGCCTTGCCGCTCAAGCCGCAGGCGCAGCGATGGCGGAGGCTGTGGAGCGCACAGACGAGCTAGTTCGCGAGTACCTGCTCTTCCGCGGCTTCACGCACACGCTGCGGCAGCTGGACGCCGAGATCAAGGCGGACAGGGAGAAGGGGTTCCGGGTGAGGGATCCTGCGGGCGCGGGCTGAGACGTCTGGGGGCGGGCCCCTTCCCGTCCCCTCCCCCTCCCGGCGCTGCCTCAGGGTCTGGGCAGCGCTGTCACCGCGCCTCGGCCTGCACTTGACTGCGAGGAGCCACGGGGCGGCTTGGACGTGACTGCCTGGAGTTGCCCAGAGAGGCTGGAGCGCTGGGGACCATTCGCCCTGTCCAGGTCCAGACTCCCTTCTCCATCCCACGTCCAGCAGATGCTGGGCGTGGCTAGCGGGCAGCCAGGTTTAGGAGCCAAGGATGGACAGATGATTTGTGCAAGCCACATGTCAAAGGTTGGCTCTGCGGGCAGTGGTAACCCGGAAGTCTGCAACCCCTAAAGGTGGTCTCGGTTTGAGTGTCTGGTGTTTGGTTAAAATAGTCTTTTGTCAGGGACTCGCTCATATTTTTGCTTCTGCAGTAAAGGAAGACTTCATTACACTTTTTAAAACACAAACTTCCCCTTGCACTGATACGATTTTCCATTGCGAAGTTCTTGGAATTTCTGAGCGAGTCACTTGTATGTGTGGAATTAAATAGCTGGTGGCAGATGCATGGAGGGACTCCACTTAGGTACAGGAGCCCTGGAGGGGAGTTAGGAGCCTAGGGTTTTGCTTTGCAGAAGTTAGTTTCACCTGCCCAGGCTCCAGGTTTCCTCATCTACATTTATTTATTTATTTATTTACGGTACTGGAGATTGAACTCAGGACCCTGAGCTTGCCAGGCAAGTGCTTATTCTACTGAGCTGTCTCCCCAGGTACTTATCTACCTTTAAAATGGAATTGAATTGACGTTGGTATCCAGAACTTTTTCCAGATTGTATCCTGTGGTGAGATTTCTCATCACAAGGAGGGTATTACTTTGGCTGACGCTGGCCAAAGGGGGAACTTTGGTGTCTTGCAGGGGACAGTCTTTGTATCTCCTGGTGTTCCTTGGAATTGTAGAATTGTGGGGCTGGGCAGAGGAGAGACCAAGAAGATGTGTCATGATCTCTTGCTCTAAGAGGCCAGTGTGACCACAATTGACATGATTTTGTCAAGTTGGTCAGTTTAATCCAACATCTAAATCCAGATTTCTTGCTTCCTGGGTTAGGGTCTTATATACACTTAAAAGTCAGTGTTTGCCAGACATATTTAGTACCTGAAAAACACTAATTTTTTTAAAATTTATTTTTGTTTTGTACGGGGGATTGAACTCAGGACCATGCACTTGCCAGGCAAGTGCTTTGAAAAAAATTTAAAAGCTGTTACATAAATGTGTTTGAAAAATTGGTATGTTGCCAGTTTACAAGTTTTTAACACCCAGATGCTGTAGTAAGAGGACAAAGCTGTGTTCTTTGGAATAAAGGGAAGGATGTCCTTCTGTCCTTCACCTTCTCCAGTGATGCTTTTTCTTGCCAGGTGGACAAGATTGTGGACCAGCTGCAGCAGCTAATGCAGGTGTATGACTTGGCTGCCCTTCGGGATTACTGGAGCTACCTGGAGCGTAGACTCTTCAGTCGCTTGGAGGATATATATAGACCCACAATCAACAAGCTGAAAACCAGCCTGTTTCGCTTTTATCTTGTCTACACAATCCAGGTGCTTGTCCCTGCAGGAGTTTTGTTTTCCTGGTAGGGAGAACTCTTTGACCCAGAAATAGATGTTTCTTCTAGTCTCTTGGGATGTTTTTGTATCTTACCATGGGAATGGGTAGAACAGGCACAGTGCAAATTATTCTTGACTGTCTTGTTACATTTTGTTTCCTTTTCATCATTTGCAGATCATCTGACTTAACTTTTTCCATTCCCATTTCAGCTCTTGTTTAATTTAATTTAATTTAATTTAATTTAATTAATTAATTTATTTATTTATTTGCGGAGCTGGGGATTGAACTCCGGCCCTTGCGCTTGCCAGGCAAGCGCTTATTCAACTAAGCTATCTCCCCAGCCCCTCTACTCTTGTTTTAAACATAAAGGCATAGGTGGCATTTTGAGGGATATAAAGATTGAGTAATAAAGACAGTAGGTGACTTGGGTGAATCAGTCACTTAGGTTATTAAACATCAACTAGGGGTCAGTTTTCAGGGTGGCATTTTATCATTAGACCTTAAACTGCTTAAATTTAAACCCACTAAAGCTTGAAATCACAAGGTCCTTGAGAAAGGTTGATGGTTTCTTTTGTACTGTGGAATTTCTAGAGCCTGCTTTGTCACTTACCTGGCAGGTGACATCAAGGCTGTGTGCTATGACGATGCATCTCACCTCTGGACTTCTGTTTCTTCTTCCTCCTTGCTGCCTTCTTTGTGTCTTGGCAGACAAACAGAAATGACAAGGCGCAGGAGTTCTTTGCAAAGCAGGCCACAGAGCTCCAGAACCAGGCCGAGTGGAAGGATTGGTTTGTCCTGCCCTTCCTGCCATCCCCAGACACCAACCCCACCTTTGCTACCTACTTTTCTCGACAGTGGGCCGACACCTTCATCGTGTCCCTGCACAACTTCCTGAGTGTCCTGTTTCAGTGCATGCATATCCTTCGCAGGCATATTGAAGACAACATGACTAGTAACTGCTCAGAATTACTGATTTCAGTGCGGCCATTTCTGTGTCATGTGAGGGGGCTGGAGAAATTGTGATTATTTTGCCCAGAAGCTACAGAGTCATAAATCTTAATTCTGGTGATGTATTACGTGAAAAAATAGCCAATGCACACAGGCAGGACTATAGCGGCTGCAGGGTGGGGAGGCAGCTGCTTGTTGGTGAAACCAGCCGCTTGAGAGCATCCTTTCTGTGAGGGTCACAAGTCCCCAGGGGATATCACTTGCTTTTGTTGGGGTTTAGGAGCAGATGAGAAGACTTCTGGGATTGGAACTTCCTGCCTGAGTGTTTGGGTTATTCTTTCTTGACAGTGACCTCATTGTTCCTCAACTTGCCAGAAAACAGAGCAGCTTTAAGATCGTGGGGTGTGTGTGTGTACACATGCACATTGTGCAGAGATAGAAGAGTGAATGAGAATTGTGTGACTCATGTCGTAGCAAGTATACCATTTTGTCTCAGAAGGCCTGAGATCTTGAGATGCTTTCTTGCGTCATTGTGCTGTCCAGGCTGGAAATGGCAGCAGAAGACAAGGCAGTCTGCTTGGAATGGGGCTGCCTGGTGAGGCACTGATAAATTTGAGCCTTGATAGCCCCACCCATCAGCTGCCAGTTTGACCTCTGTGAGACTGCTTTCTGGAAAGTTCCTGGCTTTGCCCTTTCTTTATGTGTTGTGACTGAGTTGGAATTCTGCTCTTGCCAGGCTTTCTTGTTACTTACCTTGTCCCTTTTTCCTGTAAGCTGTCAAAAAGCTGGTATGATGGCTGCCACATGGCATGTGGACCTCTAGGGCACTTGAAATGGTCGCTCCAGATCTTTGCGGCTAAGATACTGCCAGTCAAACTAAGGCATGCACATTTGGAGTCTGAGGCCCTGTCGACTCTGCTCTCCTTCTGACTGAAGCTGTGTGAATGATTGGGAAAAGCAAAAGGCCAGCACCCTCAGCTAGAATGTAGGTGTTCCTGAGGTGGCATGTGGCCATGTAATCTGCACAAAGCCATCTCTTCTCAGTCTAAAACTTGGCTGGGAAGATGTTCATTGTTGGGAAGGCAAAACCTAGTACTGATCCCGCTTTTGGGGTTGCTTTCCACTGAGTGTCTGCCGTGGCCTTGCTAAAGCTTAGACTGGCTGTGATGTCCACTGACTACTGCTGGGGCTTTGGGGAAGATGCCAGGTTTAGATTTGTATCCTCTCCACAGAGATTTTTATGTGTCTCTGAGTCTAAAGAAAATAAGGTCCTAAAGCTGGAGAGAGACCAGTGTATAAAGCTGTGACAAGCCCACAGAGCTTGTCCTCTGTTTCCTGTTTCTTACGTGTAAGTACTTGGCTACTCTGTCGGGAGCTTTCAGATGTGCCCAAGCAGGCTTATTCTTTAACTTTGTGCACCAGTTCCTGTGATCCTGAACTTCGACGCAGAGTGCCAGAGAACCAACCAGGTTCAAGAAGAAAATGAGGTTCTGCGCCAGAAGGTTTGTGCTGCAGAGGCTTGCTTCTGGGAGAACTTCTGCTCTGTGTTGTGATGTTAGGTCGCATAGCACTCAAAATCTGATCGCATATAGAGCTGAACTTTTTTTTAAAATTGGATATAGGGTCTCACTACCAGTTCAGACTCATAGTGATCCTCCTGTCTCAGCCTACCTAGCACTGAGATTCCGGGGCCAGCACGGCGTGTGGTCCTGGGGATCACACTCAGGTTCTTGCACTTGCCAGGCAAGTACTTAGACCTCTGAGCTATCTCTCCAGCCCCTAAACTGGGGATGAAAGCGAGTCATAGTCAGCATTGAGGGTTTAGGACTATATCAGCCTCTGATAACCAGAGGGGAGACTCATATTTTAAACCTAAGCAACTTAGTGATTTGAATCAACTTGTTAAGACAATGACTATGTATACTCACACTGGCATTCTATCCACCTGTTTTTGTGTATCATTTTGTCTTACTGGTCTTTTTCCATATATAACCGCATACACAGAGTACGCAATCCAAGTATAATTTAGTTGTTCCTACTAAGCTACATATTTCTCTTTTCCAACCCATGTTTGCCTTTACGTTTTGCCTGAGGAAAAATCATTTAGCCTTGATTTCCTTGTCCTGAAATGAAGATCTCTATCGGTGATATTACTAAGTAAAAGAAGCTTAAAGCTGTATTGATTTTGAGGTTTAAAATACTTGGATTTGGGGGGCTTTGTGTATGTTTAGTTTTCTTGAGGCAGAAGGTTGGAATGCTGTGTAATTCATTTAAATTGTTTTTTTCATATGAGTTCCAAAGCCTGATTTTATAGATTCCAAAGAGCACAGTAGGATTGAGCGGAGCTCTTTTTCTCAGTAAATTTAGGAAGAAGCATGTCAAGTGATAAGAAGTGGCTTTCTTACCTCACTGTAACCGGGGCCGGAAGGCACTCTTTGTTTTTTTCTCTGAGACACAATGAACAGAAATGCGAAGGACACCTTGGTGCCGAGGGGAAATGGGTTCGGACGTGGTGGCTAGAAGTCTTGTTCGGCAGCGGGTTGGGTCAGATCATTGGCTAACTCAGCCCTGCACTATGCAGCTTTTTGCCTTGCAAGCCGAAATTCATCGGCTGAAGAAAGAAGAACAGCAGCCTGAAGAGGAAGAGGCCTCGGTCCAGCACAAATTGCCTGCTTATGTCTCCAGCATGGACCGCCTGGGGGATTCTGAGCTGTGAGTTGTCTGAGAGGGCCCAGCTGTGGGAAGATGGCTCCCTCCCCTCCTCTGTCCTCTGTCTCCTGAATGTCCCTCTGACCTTGTCTTGCCTGTGGCCTTTGTGCCTTTTGAGGAGTATTGCCCAAGAGCCCGTGGCCTGCCTCATCTTACTTCAGGTTTGAGTGAGGTCCCTGTGGCCACCGTGGTCATGCTCGTTGTTCTTGACCTGTTCTGCCAGGACCTTGCATGGCTGGATCGGTACAACCCAGCCACCACGGGAAGGTTTCGTGTATTGGAAGGGGTGTTTTAGCGTGGAAGGATTGCCTGGAGTGTTTAAAGGAGTAGGCAGAAAGTAGAGGGAGGTATTTGATTTTAAGAAACAGCCAAGTAAGGCTGGGTTGGAGCTCAGCAGTCGAGTGCTTGCCTAGCGTTTGAGGGGCCCTGGACCCTCAGCACCGGGAAACAAAGCAAAACAAACAAACCCCCCCCAAATACAGTTAACAGGGAAGCCCAAAGGATAGCAATACCAATAGTAGCAGTTGGAGAACCAGCAGTTGAAGAGCCGGTGGCAAGTCAGGTGACACGGGGTGAGGCAGGGTGCAAACCAGGCATAGCCAAGTGTTGTACCATATGAAGTGGCTCTAGTTCGTCAGCCAGCCCTAGCCAATGAAAATAAAATGTACCCGCCAGTGACGGTCATTTAAAGTTTTATTTTATTTTTTATTTTTTTAGTAGCCTTGTTAAAAAAGTAAAATGAAGATTTAATCACATATTTATTGAACTCAGTGTATCCAAAGTATTTCAACATATTCTACACCTCTGTCGAGCTGAGCCTTGGAATTCTGGTGTGTTTTACATTCCCAGCACATCTCGACTGGGACTGACCCCACTTCAGGTCCTCAGTAGCCCGCGTTGCCATAGGCTGTCATACAGCATGGTTCTGAGAGCTGTTGGGCTAGATAAGCTGCTGGTCCCCTTTGTACATGAAATGGTGCGAAGTGTAAAGCCCTTCCAGCCCAGGCTGCAGAATGTAAGGGGTCCCTTATGACCCTTCGTAGCTCAGGAGCTCTGTGTTCTCAGACTCTTTTCATCCCCTCCAGTGCTGTGACCCTGTCTTGTGTCCCCTGCCCAGTGCCATGGTGTGCAGCCAGAGGACTGCCTCCCTCTCCCAGTCACCACGAGTAGGCTTCCTGTCCTCACTGCTGCCTCAGAGTAAGAAGAGCCCCTCGAGGTTGTCACCTGCCCAAGGCCCCCCTCCAGCTCAGAGCTCCTCCAAGAAAGAGCCCTTCAGCACTCAGGTAAGCACCGGCCGCGCCTCTAAGTGTTGTCAAGAAGCTTGTGCCTCAGACCGCCAGCTGTCTATCCAGTGTAGCTCGTGTGACTTCCTTTGGAACCAAGTTGTCAGATGTGCTGTGAAACCCTAAATTCCCTTCTCTTTTCCTTTCTTCCTCATTCCCTGCCTTTCCCCTCACAGACTAATAGTAGCTCTGTAGGATGAGAATAGAGGTAAGACTAAGGTTGGAGAAAGTGGGAGAACAAGGAGGACGATCCACCTGGTATACCCACTTCCATGCTCACCTCTGGAGGTCACTGCGGGGCATTGTGTCGTGACAGCGGGCAGAGAAGGGGTGTGCTGGCCCCCAGCCTGCTCTCGTAGGCCCCATGGCTGCTGTCGTTTGATCCTGCCTGTACCAATGATTGGGTGGGTAGTCAGTGACCGGAAGTAGGCTTTGATGGGCCCTTCCCCTTTTCCCATAATCTCCTCTGAACTCAGGGTTTGTGACTGTCTGGGTGGCTCAAGTATGAGTTGAGGCAGGGCTGAAATTTTGATTTAATTTCTGTTAAACTAGTGTTTGGCTAAAGAGTAAATTGAGAGTTACCTCTAACTGCCTGTATTTTACCAACAGGCTGGTATTTGCTGATTTTGCAAAGCATTTTCTCTATTTTCCACTTTTCTACCATATTGCAAGAGACGTTCTTTGATGTTAGCTTATGTGCAAATGAGCCAAGAATTCACTGAGTGTTTTTTTGTTTTTTTTTTAACAGAACTTGTCAGAACTCATTGCTTTCAGGATGCCTGCCTGCCTGCCAGAGGGAAAGTATAATACATTCAGAGTTAGACTTCTTTGCATGGGTAGGGGCTCTGCTCTTACAGTGAGTGTACTTTTGCCGAGCACTGATAAAGCCAGTGGTCACAGTTCCTTCCTTCTCTACCACCCGTGGCTGGAGTTGCAGGTGGTGTAGCAGTTTGGGGCAGCTGCTGATTTAGGGTGGCTGGGTTGGAGACCCTGCGCAGGACACTGGATAAGGCAGAGCATGGACTGTGGAGTCAGGCGACGTGATTTACCTTCAGCTCTGGCTCTGTGTGAGTCATCAGTACTCAGATTGCTGAACTTACCCCAGTTTGCCTGGGCTAATGATAGCGTTGACTCCCCAGTGGGGCAGTAGTTGTGTCAGGGGAAGAAGAGCCTTTGGTGTCTGCAGTGGCTGGCAGAGGCTAAGCACTGTGTCAGTTTCGTAGGCTTTGTGTTCCTGAAGGTCCTGGCTGACTTGGATTTCTGAGTGAGTTCTTTAGACTTCAAGTCCCACCTGTGGGCTTGACTGTCACCTCAGGCTCCCTGAGGGTAAAAGCAGCTGAAAATAAATTGCAGTTATTTCCACAAACTTCTGTTTTTTGGAGGGGTGTTATTGGTGGTTTTTTTTTTTTTTTTTTTTTTTCCCCCTGTGGCTGGCTTAGTCCACCCTGGGGGCGGGTCTGGTGTGGCATGTGGTGCCAGAGATTGAACCGTGGTACCCACACGCTTGCCTAAGCAGGCACTTTAGACTGCTGAGCTACCTCTGTGGCCCCAGAGGGGTGTTTTTTTGAGATAGAGTCTCACTACGTAGTTCAGACTGGCCTTCACTGATGTTGGTCAGTGCCCCTGCCTCAGCCTCTGGAGTGCTGGGATTACAGACATGAGTTGCCAGACCCAGCGGTAAGTGTTTTTGTGTTTTTTAAATCTTTAAAAGTAGAATTGCAGCTGTTTGGAATATTGCCAACGAAGTCTTACTGTTTGTATTCTGGACCTTTCTCCTAAGCAGCACTTTGTTTTGGTAGGTAGAGCTAAGAGTGTTGAGCCCTTTGAACTAAGCTTCTTTATACTGTGGAGTCCAGTTTCACTAATTAAGATGGAGGTCGACACAGGCACAGCTTCTTTGAGGTTCAGCCTGTGGTAACGCTCTTTCTGTTTCAGGAACTGCGTGTCACATGGTATTATTTCTCTTTTATAAAAATACATGGTGAGATTGAAATGGCCTGTGAAGTTTTTGTGCAGTTTACAGCCAAACGATGAGGGTAAAATGATAATTTGTGACAAAGTATTTCTTATTTTGCCCCAAAATATAGTCAAAGAAGGTTGGGTCGCTGTGTGGTAGGTTAATAGAGCACAATCTGAGTTTCTGCATGGAGACCACAGATGTCTGCAGTCTGACAAACCCGTTGGTCAAATCACTTGATTTTTATTTTTTTATTGATGGTGCATTGTTTAGATTAAGCACTGATGTTTAAACTTTAGTAATAACTAATAAATTTGAGGTTCAGGAAATGACAGAAGTTCAGAGTTGAAGGGAGGCTTTAAAAGTTCCTTCAGCTTACTTTCTTTCTCCGGTTGGTTGCCTCCTGTGATGTGGAATAACTTGCTTGTTCCAGTGGAAAATACGCTGCTTAAAAAGCCATTAGCAGAAACCTCTTTGTAACATTTACTCAGCAGTCTCAGCTTGTCCCCCTGGAGCGACATGGGATAAGGCGTCTTGCCGGAAAGAACCCTTCCCATCTTTCCTTGCGAAGCTCTCCACTCATCCCTCTCTACAGCGTACTTCTGTCACCATCCTGGGGCCCCTCCTCTGGGGGCACAGTCTAACATTTCAACCCGTATATTATATCTCATGCCCGAAGTTGAGTGTACAGTTTTGGACTTCTTCTCACTATTGCCAAATGTGTGACAGGATCACTTATTGTCATTCTGATATTGTGTGCCTTTGAGCTAACTCAGTATGACATGAGACCAGCTTCTAAATAAGCTGTATTGCTTTGTCAGTGTATATTAGGCATTGGATCTTTTTTGTTGTTGTTGTTCCATTTTTACACCAGAGCTCTTCTTTCTTTCTTTCTTTCTTTCTTTCTTTCTTTCTTTCTTTCTTTCTTTCTTTCTTTCTTTCTTTTTGGTATTAAAAAATAATAAACATACAAAACCCCCATATTTTATTATTAAACTAGCAATACATAAATGATTGGACCTTTCTATCTTAAATATTATTTACATAGAACATTGTGCATTTCACTCACATCAGCATTTTGCCTGCTTGCGCTGGTTCCCTGAAGCTATCACTGTTAAGTGTCCATGGCATTAGGTGGCAACATGCATACTCCATGTTTTCAGTGTGAATCTTTAGGCAAATAAAAAAAGGAAGTAGCTGCAAAACCCTACTTCCCAAGCTCTTCTGGGATCTCCCACAGTGGTGGACACAGAGGACTGGGAGGACTCAGGAGAGACTGTTCTGCCCTTCACTCCTGTCCTGCCCCCAGCTATATGTCTGTGCCTCTCACAGCCGGTGAGCTATGGGACAGCAGGTGGGAATTACCTTATTACACAGATAACTTTTAATTGGCTGTAATGTAAAGAAAATAAAGCATCCACAAACTGCTGCGCTTCCCTTGTTACGAGATTACTCCCCAGCTATTGTGTTATTGGGTTACGAGAGGCGTCCTAGGGCTGTTCTCATGGAGCTGGGTGGCCTGGGGAAAAGGTTGCCCCTGCCCAGTCTTTCTGTCTGCAGGTCTGTACTTGAACCGTGCCATTTGGGTAGCTTTGTTTTGCCTCTGGTGTTGAGTTTTGTGTTGAGATCAGATTACTGGAACTTACTTCCTGTCCCAGTTGGAGGGCTGCCTGGCAAGCCTGGTGAGGCTCTGAAATTGCTCCCGATCTACCCAGGCCACCAAAAACGAATGAGTGTCAACTTATGTCAGTCTCCAGAGGGAGAAGGTCACATGATAAAGATTTTTTTTTTTGGCTGGTTCAGGCTGCCTTAAGGGCAGGTCCAGTACGGCAAGGGGAGCTGGGGATTGAACCACAGACTGCTGCACCTGTCTGGGTTTGCCCCAGGAGTTGTTTAGAGAACTGAGCTAACCCACAAGCCCCCCACATGATAAATTAGGTTACAGTATCTCCTGAACCATAGGAGTCAGGAAGATTGTGATGAATGTAACTTGAGCCACTGAGGTATTAAGTTAAATGATGCCAGTAGGTAAGATTTTTTGTACAGTTTGCCCTTAAAAAACTCTATGGGCAGGCCAGGGAGATGGCTCAGTGGAATATGCACTTCCCTGGCAAGCGCAAGGGCCTGAGTTCAATCCTTGGTTCCGCAAAAAAAAAAAAAAAAAAAAAAAAAAAAAAAAAACCAAAAAAAAAAAACGAAACTCTATGGGCTACGTCACAGTACATGTTTAAGTTGTGTGCGTTTAAGTTGTACCTGTACACAAACTTACCTTAACCTCCCCATTAAAGTGACTGTGGACAGCTGTGTTCCTCAGCTTTCAATTCATGATTTTCTTTCATTGTTGCGCACCCTTCTGCAGAGACCGCCTCCGTCACAGTGGAAAAGCTCTCTGCTCCTGAAGCAGGATGTAAGAGGTCCCACTTGGGTGTGTGGCTCACCAGGTATAAACTGTCCTGGTGTTGTAAGAGCAATTCTTAATTTATTGTCCTGGTGTTTGTTACCCATTTGTAGCCAGCCATGGTGGTGCACACCTGTAGCCTTACCCTTGGCGGGCTGAGCCAAGAAGGTCACCATGAATTTGAACTACATAAATGAGATGTGCTCTCACCTCCCCATCTCGCCTCATAACAAAATCCATTTGTATTTTCATTGTGAAAAATATGAGCTGTCCAGCCCAGCCTGATAATGTACTGAGCAACTTCCTTACCATCCTGATTCATAGGAGAAGCACTACCTCTGCACTGCTTTGGGTTGGTTTTTTGCTGTAGCTGGGGAAGTGTTGCAGGTGGCTTTTGATCTATCTAGAGAATTAGAAGCCTCTCCATGTGATCTCATAGGGTATTGGAAAGGAAAAGAACAGCCTTTATCACATGTAGGGAGTGAGGAAAGGAGAGGGCCTCAAAATGCACGTCTGCCTCTGTTACGTTTCCTGCTGTTGGTCGCTGAGGTAGATCCCCATGTTGTCCTGAGAGGATGTTCATGGAGCAGGCAAACCATGTGGGCATGGCAGCTCCTAGACTGGGATGTGGTTGTTCTCATGGGG